AAGTTTGTTTATCTACAATCAAATATTAACAGGTGGTGCTTAGTGGRGGGGATGTTGAGATATTATAGAAATGTGGAAACACTTTGTGCATCTGAACTATTCTGTCACATTAAAGTGAAAAACAGTACATTAAAGGAGGAGCTGTGTGCTGAAATTGAAAATTACCAGCTATTAAATCATAGAGCAGTAAATGCAATGACTTTAAACCCACAGTATGAACTCTTGTTTTTCAGAACAAGCACTGTTCGTACTACCAGCTCGGACATTTAGACCCCAAAGATCTCTCATTTTATTAGAATGTGAGTTTGTAAGGAAAGCAAAAAAACAAATAAATAAATAAAAACAATAAAAAAGAAATTGACAAGATTTTTGTTTTTCCCAAAGGCCTTCGAAGCTAGTTAAACTGTCTACAAATTGCTTGCAGCCCAGCAGTTGAGGGTAAATGCTGCAGTAGGACACAGACCCAGCGGAGGATCAAATAACTGCGAAACCAAGGATGGCAGTAAACTTTGATAGAACCAAAAGAACAGTACGTGTAACAAAAGGCATGGCACAGAGTAAAAATACTTTTAAATCAAACTACGGGTGTTTCCAATGACAGTTTAGTAAAAGTATGCAGGAAGGATGCCATCAGTGTGGCTGCAGTTTTAGTTACACAACTTCAGGAGAACACGAAGGAGCAGAGAAAGGCTGATTTTCTTTTTCACTCAGTGCTTTTATAGACAAATATCATGTTGGCTGCTCAAATGTTCTGTTTATCCATGTAGAAATAATGTGAATTTACTGCATGTCATCATTCATAACTTGGACTGGAACCTCTGGGTGGCGTGTTTTCACCCAGTGGCAACCCTTTAAATGTAGCATCATGAAAAGCCTTTCTCAAATGTTCAAAAAAACAAAACTCACAATGAGCTTATTAAAAAACAGACCTAAATTCAATCAGAAGACATTTATTTATAATAGTGTGAATGCTCCATTTTTCCTCCGTAAAAACTCATTCTTTGTGCTATTTCAACTATTTATTTATCAAAAAGTTCAGCTCCTTCAGGACTTTCCAGCTATGACCTTTGGTACTAGATTTTTATACATTTTGAGACATTTAGCTTTATCTGCAATTATTTTTTTCTCATTAAAAATAAATAGAGCTGTCATCAACCAACACATCATTTTTGCTAATTTTAGCTTTTTCTGCTTTTTCATCTAATTTCAACTGTTTCTTACTTCTTTTTGCTTCTTTTAGTTAATTTGATCTTTTTGTGATTCTGTCTACTGTGTTCTAGTAATTCAACTGTTATCTGGCTTCTTAGCTTCTTTTAGCTGTTTTTCAGATTTATTTAAGCTAAGTTCACACTTTTGTGAGACTTTCAGCTTTTTACTGCTTTATCCAGCAAACATGCTTTATCTGCTTCTTTTTTCTAGTTTCTTCTTCTTCAGCTACTTTTCAGTTTTTATTTTTCATTTAATTCCACTTGTTTTAACTTTTTTACAACTTGAAACTTTTTGTACTCCTTTTATTGTTTTTCTGCTAATTTACATTTTTTTCTCTCTCTCCTTTCACCATCTGTTAATTTCAACCTGCTGTCTTTTTTTTGCAAATTTTTAGCTACTTTTACTTGACTTCAACAACTTTCAGCAGACATCTTTCAGCATTCACATTGCATTTTTGCAGAATATGCTGATCTGTTGGATCTTGGTTTTCATGTTTTGATCAGTTGTGTTTGAGTGGGTTTTTGATTAGTTAGTACATGATTGGGATTTATCTATCACATGATAACTATCCCTCCCTTTTTTCACTCAATTGTGTGTGCATGTAATTTTGAAACAAGTTTCTGTTGTGATCCCAAAAGTATTGTGCATTACCTTCCAAGGTGATGTCATTGATACCCAATAGATATGTAACTCTTCAGTGTTGTTTCGAGTAGCTTTACAACTTGTTTTTTAGACTCAGCTTGCAACACATTGTTCACGTTATACACAGATTTCCAGAACACAGTGTCCTTTATGGGTAACTATTTGTGATTGATATAAATTCATCATGCACGCATTTAAATCGGCAAGCCAAGAACTGTCTACGGAGTGTTTTTTTCGGTTTTGCGGGAATTGAACAGATGCTTTCAATGCAGAAACACATTTAAAGAGAGCATGAAACAATTCAAAACTTGCACTTGAGCAAATAACAAAAATAATAATAATAATACAGCATTGATCTTGGTTTTCCTAATCCTTTCCAGCTACAGACAGAGCTTTATTTGATTTTTAAAGCCAATATTTAATGTCACATAAAGAGGTTTTAAAAGACAACAAAGCTTTCCTATTTGCAGATTTTTGGACTGCATGGTTGTTATTTTTTATTTGAATAGAATTGTCTTCAAAATGTTTTTGGTAAAGAATAGAATGTAGATAACTTTTATTCATTGCTGGGGAGACAAAACTTTAAACTTCCAAGTTATTAATTTTTAGTTTTTATAAATGGTATTTGTTTGTCCTTTTTGTTTCATGACATTACTGTACATTGAACAGTTCACGAGAAAAGGCATGAATTTTTGCTGAAAAAAGCATTTTTTTTTACTATATTCCTAATACAAATCCCTCAACTTGTAGAAGCAGAACACAGAACAGGTATCCATGTTCTGAGGACTCACCAGTTCAAGTTCCTGTTGTGCACTGAGGTGTAGTCCACACGTGGGAGCCGTTTGGTTCAGTTTAAATATTTTCTTGTCTTGTAAGTGCTCCTTAATTTTTCACAGTCTTCAAACCTTTCAGTCAATCTGTTCCAGATGTGGTTCTTATGTGAGGTGGGTCAGGAAGCAACAATTACCTTTTTCCTAACTCATATAAAACAAAAATAAGTTGCTCGCAAGTTAAACGTGAGGGAAAGAAATCTGTGTTCATTTTTTCCCTGATTTTTCATCTACATAGAACTAAAACTTCAAGCAGGAATGGATCTCTGCGCAGTTTGACTGAACGCTGCCAGCCCAATCTGTGTCACAATCGATACGTGCCATACGTTGATCATTTACAGAAAAGCTCTGGGCCGCCTGCTGCAAACTTCAAAAGCATTTTATTTTAACGGGCCCCTGATCAGATGATCAACTCCAAAAAGCTGGAGAAGAGCTCATAGCTGCAGGGGAAGGTTCTCACTCACAAAATGTTCTTGTACTGTCACGAATGTTGCTGGAATTGGCAATCAGAATTTCCTTCACTGCTAAATTACTGTGTGAACAGATATACCACTAAGTGTTTTAGTGACTTTTATTATTTTATAATCTTTTTCTGTCTTTGGCATTGCCTGATTCGTGTATTTCAGCAGGGGTTTTTTTGTTCATTCAAAACTTTATGCACAATTAAAATGAGTGGTTTTGCAATGAGTTTTACAACTTAAGCCCATCCAACGTTACTGCAACTGCCCAAAAACAAGAATCACAACACATGTTGCCATTAAATAAGTCCCCAAACCCTTTCTCATTTGTGGAAACCCTTTTCAAATGATTAGCTTAGCAACATCAAATCGCTCACTGGATTTAGTGTGTGTGGTGGTAAGCATTCAAATGATTTCACCTTTACCTACATAGAAAGAGCTTAGCATGAAAATGCTTTATTACTACGTCACAGTTTTTATTTTATGTTGCAGGTGTTAACATAAATACTGCCCACAAATGACTTTACCAGAGGGTTTGTTGATCTTGTGTTCACTTGCTAAAATATAGCCAGACCACAAAGGAGAAACGCAGTCGCAAATGTGTCAAAATTGCGTCCAAGATTTTGAGATTGGAAAGAGCGGTCCGGGAAATCTCACATCCATCTACAGGAAACTTAATGGTGCACAAATGATGGAATGTTTTTGAAAGTTGGTGAGGCGAGAAAGAGGCCGTAAATAGGCAAGGATTTAGGAAAGGTTTCGCTGCAATGCTGGTGCAAAATAATATCGGAGCAAGCTTTGTGATAATCAAAGCAGACAGAGGGAGTGGAGGGGAAGTGCACAACGACCTAACTCCAAAAAACATTTACTGGATCCTAAAGGGTGCCAAGTGAAAAATAAAATGTTTTTAAAAAATGTTACTGACATATTTTCATTATATTGCTCGCTTTCTGAGTGTAAAATCCTAGTTCAACAATTTCTACAAACATTTTATTATTTAGCTCACTGTGGCTAGCAGTGGTTAGTGTTGACGTCTGTCGCAGGATGATGACATCATCCTGGTTAGCTAACGCTTGTYGCTGCCAACACTACGGAAGATGGTATTTTAAATCTAAATTCAAAATATGTCATTGAGACCAATATGAATGGTGCTTGTGTTCAGGCAGTTTGAAGTGCAGCTTAAACGCCGGACGCAACTGCAAGTTTGATGTATTGTAGAAAAGCTTTAGCAACATTAGCAGCGGTAACGGTTGCTATTGGCTGTGTCCAAAACAGGAGGCCGGGTCCTCCGGAGGACCCAGCCTACCCAGTTGAGGTGGGCYGGGTCCTTGGTTGGCAGAGAAGACCTGAAAAAAAGAGGCTGTGAATTTGGACGGTCTAGCCTCCCGTCCTTACCCCGGCGTACGTGCTGTCGGCTAGCAACCGTGACGACACTAAACAGAAGCAAAATTAGATCAAATTTAGAAAAATATCTATATATTAGCATTATTAATATCACAAAACAATAAAATTAACTTAAAGGTAATATTTGAAAAACTAATTGACCCGCCATAGGTGCATGTTTAATTCGCATTTTTTTCCTGACAAAAATAATAGTAAGTAAGTAAGTAAGTAAGTAAGTAAGTAAAGTTTTATTTGTATAGTGCCTTTCACAGAAATAAATTCAGAAGGTGCTGTACATTCAGGGAAGGGAGAAGGGGTGAGTTAAGACAGGTCATGCAGCAAAACACAGTTGCGCTAGACAAACAGAAAAACTAAAAACCACACAAGGGAAAATGCGGAAAAAAGCAAAAACATCATATTATATTATAATATTTAAAAATACGTCTTAAATTATAAAAGTATTAAAATTACAACCGCTAGAAATTTTTAATTTTTTTATCACCATATTTTTATTTAAAACATTATTTTCTCTCACTTCATCCACCATTACTAGCATTAAAAAATATCTCTGGTCGGGCAGCAATGCATTGTGGGATATGCTGGGCAGGGAAGGATCCATCGGACCAGTCCTTCAATTCGGGCCAAAGGAAGGACGCATTTGTCAGCCACACTGAAGGAGTCTTCGGATTTGGTCGGTCGTCGTTGCAGCGCTGTGACGTAGGCGGCCGACGAATTCGGCCTTCTGAGGACCCAGCCCACCGTTTTGGACACAGCCATTGTCTCAGGATGATGGCGTCCTACCAAGAGCAAGAATTGGGCATCAATGGCAAAGGCTGCATTTCATTTTGAAATACTCAGCTGTAAACTTCAATGTTTATATTTTTTAACTTGTTCAGTTTTCTATTTTCAATGACGTTTTCTGAACTACTTATTACTGCAGAGTATTTGCAACGGAACTGCCAAATACGGTCTTGATTTACCAACCACAATGTGGTTGTCTTCCTCTGGCTCTGGGTCAGACTCTGGTTCCAACATGCAAAGCTGGTTGGTCAAGTCTTCYTTTGTTGACATCTTTTAATTAAAGGGGCAACATTATGTGTTTCTCAGGCATATACTGAAATTCTATACCATAATAAAGTAACAATGTCACGTTCAGTTGTTTTTAAAATGCTGTTTTTTATGTTTAAATCGAAAATACACTTGATTTCTCATTCATTACCGTTTCTAAACACCTTGAAATTGGCCTCTGTCTCTTTAAGAACCTCCTTCTGATCTCGTCACACCCATTTCAGCGCGTCATCACAACAGCTTCACGCTGTTCTCTCTCTTGTTTACAATGGAGTGTTGTAGCATGCTTTGTTGTAATGATAATTTAAAAAGCAGCAACATTATACAAGATCTGTTTTGGAATATAGCATCTCAGGATGCATATGAACCTTACTGTCGGAGCGGAAAGTATGTTTTCTGAAACAATTACAGAGAGGACAGCTGGTAAGATTATTTCAGTCGCTCACACAGTCACACACATTCTGATCATAATAAGTTACAAATCTTAACACATAGACCAAACAACACGGGAATAAAACAAAGTGAGGTTTTTTTTTTTTTCAGCTTACCTGGGCAGGTGACAACGGTGTTAAATCCAAAAAGGACTGAAATGAGAAGCTKTTAGTAGAGGCGGTTTGTTACCTGTGTTCCTGCCACCTGCAGGAATCACGGTCGTGGTGCACGGGGTGGGGTGGTGTGAAGTGGAAGCTCAGTGTAGTTTCCTTGGCTGCACTGAGAAGTGGTATTGGGAGCACAGCAGATGTGGTTTTCTGCAGGTGTTTGCTAGTTTTTGCTGCCGGTAGCCTGAAGGAGTCACAGGGCGGAGTAGGTCTGGGGGGTGGGGGAGCTGTGCTCTGTGATGAGGAAGCTTGGTTCGGAGACACTGCCCAAAAGGCATTTCTAGTCTCAACTGGCCGTTTTTGCTCTCCTGCCTGGCTGCCTCAGGACACTACAGGATTTCTCAAACATGCATGAATGAGTCAAAGTAAGACTCTGGGTATGTTTTTGATGAGAGGATAACATTATAACATGATGTAAAGCTCAAAAAAGTTGATTTTACATGATATTCCCCCTTTAATTTTTAAATAAAACATTTCTGTGCCACTATGTAGTTGTAAACCCCTCTATCAAATTGGAATTTACCGGTATCGAAGCTGGAGGGGGGCTGAGGTGTGAAGTGACTTGTTTGGATTTAAAGAGACAGCCTCAAAATGAGTTGATCTGAGACACACCTCAGAAAAGGGGTGAAAGAGAAGCTTGTGGACTTACAATGATTGGATTATATATGCATTGCTTCGCGAAAGGAAGATCACCAGTTTGATTCTCTGCTGAGGAAGTTGTCTGTAGTGTTTTGCATGTCCACAGTACCAGAACTTGGAATTTAGATGGATTTCTGATTCTAAATTATCCTTACAGGGGAGGTAGGTGAGTGTGCATAGTTGTTCGTCTCTTGTGTTTTTGTTTTGGCCCCGCGATCATCTCTGCAACCTGTACAGAAACTTATCCGTAGATATTTTCCAGTGAGACTGCAGTACTGATTTACAGTTCCTCTGGTTCTCTGAGGTTTGTGGTTGGCTAAGGCTGCCTCAAAGCCAAAGTGCACCCAGTGGCAAATTGTTCTCTTCAGGTCAAGTCAAATGGAAAGCATTCAAAAAGACAGATAAGGCACTGAAGGAACTAGGGTTCAAAGTGTTCTTAAAAAACATAGCATTCTTAAGCCTTTTCAGGTCAATGTCATGGAAACATTTTCTTAAACATCCTCTCAATAAATCAAACCAACAGATGTGAAGTCAAGTAGTTAATGAACATGAAATTTCAAAAAAGAAAAAAACAGCATAGCCCAAATTACCCATTTCAGAGGGCCCAGGGAGTTAAGTCAAACACAAAGACAAAAGTTGGGATGTAAAGACGACTTAATGACATCAGGACTACATGGAAACTAATAATCCCCTCACAATGGTCTATGAGTCTGGGTTCCGATTTGCACCACAAAATCTCTCTATGGTCTGGAACATTCCAACAGAGTCTGGTTTGGTTCCTCCTGGAGACGGATGCAGGTTGGCTCTTTGTCCTGACCCCCCTCTGACAAAGACAATAATTTCAGATCTCATATAGCTCATGGCAGGGGGCTAGCTGCTTGTAGTGTTCACTGCCATTTTTAAAATTGAGGATTACATTAAAAATATATAAAGTTATGTAATAAATAAAATCTAAACTGTGCTTTCTAAGCACATATTACAGTAAAAACAAATTAAATCACATCAAGAATAAGCTAACATTTTATTGTTGCTTATGTTGACATTTGCATTAACCGTGTTATCAGATTCCAAAACCRAATGCTTTTGTCATTTTTTTTGTAACTTATTTATCTCCTGTGTTTAACATTACTTGAGTTTCAATGTTTCATCTCAGTGTTCAGCTTCAGCCCCACACACACTCACCTGTTTGTCTTCCTGCAGCTGTTTCTGATGAAGGTTTGTTTGTGTTTCTGTATTCCTCAGTAGGAACAAACTGTGAGTAGAGATTTTGGCTACCTCTGCACCACTTTTTGTTGCGCTGATCTGTTTTTTTGTAAAACCTTATAAGAACCAACTGTCATGTTTTATGGTTCTTTTTGTTAGAATTTTTCTGTTTGATTGTTCATCTTGAGTCTTATTTTCTCATTTCTTGATAGTTTTTCTGTTTYCTGTGTCATGTTATCCTCAGTAGTTTCTTCCAGCCTGCCAAACTCACACCTGTCCATAGACTGTAATCACCCAGGTGCTTCCACTTCCCAATCATCCTCAAYTGTTTTTAACCAGCCTTTGTCTCCACTGCCCCATGACCAAGGTGTTGTTCATGGTTTTTGTCATTGTTAATTTTATGCTGCCACGCCAGCTTTATTCCTTACATTATTGAATAAATCTTTATATATATATATATTACCTTCAAATCATTGAGTCTGTCTTTGTTTTTGGGTTCTACCATACTACACACCAACCAGAAATGTAACGATTGAGTGAAAATTAAAAATTATAAATTAATCTAATGCCTGGTTCACATGACAACATTTTGTAATTGTCGGTTGATTTTAAAATGACTGAGAGACCCCACACATGACAATAAATCATAGATATAACAAGTTTGGTCCTATAATGTTGTAGTGTACAGCCACACGACAAAAAAAAAAAAAAAAAGACAGATTCCACTGACGAACATTCAGATATCATATGGGAAATGTCATGAAATGTCTCGAGATCAAAATGAGTTTAGAGTAAATAAAAATGGCAGAAGACGACAAAGCCATAGTGATTGTTTGTTTCCATGGGGGGTGGGGGGTTAGTGTGCCATGGCAGTTGTTTTGTCTTCTGTATTTTAGATTCCCCTCCGTGTTTCTGTCACCTCGCTTTCTGATTGGCTACCAGTGGCGATTGCTCTAAGACTGCAAGGGAAGCTCAGCTTCCCCTAAAATTTCAAAAATAAGTGATCAAATATATACTGTTGTGTGTACGTGTCATTGACTAAATATGCGCTACAACGCGCTCAACTTTTGTTCAGAATCAGCTTCTTATCACTGGTAACGACGCAGTTTTCCTCTCACTCATTCCTGCAACTTCACAATACTTTAAACAGTGCGGACCACGGACGCTGAGCATCCACAGAGTTCAATAGTGAAGCAAAGAGTGCAGCGAAACGAGACGAGTCATTGGATAAATGCTGACTTTGTCCCGCCCATCGCACGCTCAGCGTCTATGGGGCAGTGGGCTGGCCTCGGCTGGCCCAGACACTCAGCTTCTGCATGATGATTGGATGATCTGTCTGAGGCTGAATACCCTTTCTGATTGACAGCGAAAYGAGCGWATCTGTGATCTTTTRGTGTAAACATGTGTGGGATCATTTTTTTAGTTTCATTATGTTCTGAGTTGAACCGGAGACTTTATTAATCTGTTTCGTGGCATTTTCTTTGTTAAAAATGACTAGTGACAAATTGAGCTTCAATTTCTGTTGGTTTTTTTTTTTAGCTGCTTGTGTTTGGAGACTGACTTCTATCACAGTTTCTGTCCAGCGTTGCYGAGCCCCTCCACCGTCACAGGGTCCAACTGGCCATTGGGAGTACCGGGACTTTTCCCGGTTGGCTGATGCATCACTGGGCCGGCGCAGGCAGCGAGRRAAAAAAARKT